GTATTATTGTTTTGAAAGGCGACTTTTAAACGTATCACTTATATTACACGGTTATCCATGTGCACTGAACGAAAATCTCTCAAGACCCGAGATCTTAATACCAACAAGTACTTACTGGTATTGTAAGAAAAGAGAAGTGATTTGGAAGTGTTAAAATACTTTAGTGAAGTTGGAATAATTCGTGTATTTGTTTTTTTTAATGTATATCTAATAATAATTCGTTTACAAGTTGACTTCGCAAATCATTTTTGTTTCATAAATGGATTTTCTTCGTCAGTAGTATAGTAAATCGACTAGAATAAAGTTCCTTTCAAGATTGTGGAACACACACGCAACACGCCCCGTTCTGGATACTCAGATTGGCATCAAATTGTATCTTCCAGATAGACAAGATGACAACTTGTTCCATAAGACCCAGTCCGATGTGAAGTGGAGGCAGAATGACATTATCACTGACTGCCAATTTATCTTTCTGAATATTTTGTTCTTCCACTTTCCATTCACGTTCTGGGCATAACTTTCTTTTGTAATGGAAATCACTATTCCACTCACAACAACAAAATTTATATTTTGTGTAGCCATGTTTCGTTTCCAGAAAAAGAAATCAAAATTATTTAAATTTAATAAGTCAAAAACTGTGCCTCATAGCTACTTCCGCTTTCCATATTTCAATTTATCATACCAAAAACCTTTGGAAATACATATTCACTTATAAGAAAATTTATCAGTATATAACAGTGTTATCAGCCTATTTTTTCTCTAACAATTTGTGAAGTCATCGTGACTATAATGCATCTTCTGAGCAACTAGAGTAAAGTTGGAATTTTATGTATATTATTATAAAGTATGTTTTAAGGATATGTTGCTAGAAAATATTTACCTTAGGAGCGTCATTAGCAATAATAAGCAAAGGTTTAGATGTTTTGATACACGTATAATAAACTAATATTATCGCAACTTTATTTATTTCATTTACTCTGGTGGAAACATTTTTTCCCTTTCAATTAGTATGTGCCTCAGAGTAAGACTAAATTATCAATGACTCGCCCTTCAATCATGAAATTCAGTAAATTTCTTAGTTTTCCTTTACATTCTTATTAAAAAAGACCAATTAAAATGTATCATAAAGTTTACTAACATCCACCAAAAATGCAATGGATATGTACTGCAAAGAAGTTTTCTTATCTTTTGGAATAATTGTCAGACTGCATATAGGAAACCAATGTCCACGTTTGTTAAGTAATTAACTTGAGAATATATATAACTCTTGACAAAATAAATTTCTAAAGTTTGTTCTATGACCTCTTGACTGTTTCAAGAATGCTGGCAAATAAGTAAGTTTTTAGGTTTGAGAATTTTTGTGGCCCCGAATAACAAAGCTCAAGAATGTAACTATTACTTTGTCCTCTATGACCACATAACTGCAAACCTATATGGTGTTTACAACACATCACCATTAATTGTTTTTTACATAATCTACTTATACAAATTACATTCCTCTATGGTTCAAAAAATACACATGTACAAAGAAGCCCTAAAAATAATTAAAAAAGAATGAACAAGTTTATAATTTTAGTTTTATTAAAAATTATCTCACTTTAAACTTATCTGTCGTCTGATGTCAAAATCTCTTTAAATTAATAAGGACAAGCATTTTTAATTTCCATCTATGCTCTCAAAGAAAAAACAATATATATCTAAACCTAATACTAATGTTCCTAGCGTTGGTTACTTGCAACAGCCGTACTCCAGTCAATTATGTTTTAAAGTGTTTTGTGAATCATTAAAATAAGAACTGTCTGCGCACACCTTTCTGGAAAGTTTTCTTGATCGCACTGTTATTAATTTCAAGTGTTCCCCAGGAGGCACATGTAGTCTATGAACACCACATAGAGTGATGGATTCACAAGACAAAATAATACAGGTCTCTGCTTCAAGAAGAATTGATTTGAATCACTTCACGCAAAACTGTCTTCTCTAACCTCAATGCATGTATATTCAAACTTTGTCCACCCTTCTCCCTACTTATAGAAACTGTTCGCTCACTATCAAAATAACGACACAAATATCCTTCCTTTACTATGTTGTATCTAAAAGTGCAAAGATCTTACTTGAATTTAGAACTGCGTTGGTAATCTTGCTGCCTCAGCACCACGCGTCCGTCCTTTCACCTTTAGGAATCTGGAGTGGCCCATTGGTATGAAAGATCGTACGATCTCTTATCAGCTGCCGAGAGGTAGTACCTCCGGAGTTCAGCACCCATACATCACACCATCCAACACTGCAAAACCGTGCTTGCACCAAAACGTCTGACTGAGAATGAGTCAGTGTTGTCAGGTGGTCTTAATCATTTCCCAGTAGAAAGCGCTGCGAAAACCAAAACGCCAAAATTCACTAATTTAAAAAATGATTTCTTATATTTTCTTCCTCATATTTCTTAAATTTATATGATGATATTTATATTTTACAGTAAACAGACATATAAAGACATGTAAAGTAACATGTGTATAACTATCACAGTAGAAACCCGGTAATCCGAAATAATTGGCGGTGTGGTCTGTTCGTATTACCCGAAAAAAATGTACCGTACATATACGAGTAAACGTTAAAAAGAAATAAATAAAAATAAAATTTTTAAATATGCGAAATTAGCAACATTTGAAAACTTGACAATTTTGCTCCTAAGTTATAGAAAACTATTTGCATTGGTAAACGAACGACGCATTTGATTTTTTTGCATTGCTAACAAAATAATAACTCGCCTTTCTACCCCTACAAGCAAATGGAGGGTTCAACATAACAAGCTACATTTATGTCCAGAAACAAAACAAGGGGCATATCATTTGCTCAGTATGGCTGCTTCCGTAGATTTTTATTTTCTAAAACCGTGTTGAGCCTGGAAACGCGTCATTTTTTCTGAGAAAAGTTTTCATTCGCGTATACAAAAGCCTTTTTAATATTTTGGAGAAAACTGACCATGGTGAAGACGAAGTAAAACCACGAATAGCTGTTATTAAAGTATATAGATTTGTTTGTAAAATTGCATTTATTAAGATCTAGTTAAAAACTTATATAAAAAAGATAATTCGCATTATTTCTTGACCTCGTGGTTTTATTTTCCTCGAATTTTAAGGGCAAGTCGTTAAATAACACAAAAATTACATCAAACCAACGTTTTAAACTGACATTTGACATATATCAGAACATATTTCATATTCACCATCTGAATTTTTACTTTTTCAGTTAACACAATAGCAATGCGTGCGTCGAAAGGAGCGCACTGTTCGGCAGTTAAATGCATTAATGAATGAAAGAAAACTTGAGTTATGTGTTTTATTTGTTTACCAATAAACCTAGAAAGGAACGATGAAAATTTATTATCTCCTTGATACCCTTATTTACTACTTAGATTACCTATATTTCTAGATATTTACATGAACAGTATAGAAATACTTGTCCTTCATTTTTTCACTATTCATTTTCAACGGCCAACATTCATTAGATTTAAATCATTTCATGCTTTAAAAATGGGTCAAAACTACTTCACATGTTCTTTTAGTCTTATGCATAAAGAAATTAAAATATCGCTTGACGTACTTATAGCGCTCTCAGTGACCACAACAGATTCTGTCAGACAGATATTAATAACTTCTATTCACACGTGCTAATAAGTACACAAGATGTATATATTAACCAATCATCAATAAGCCCGAATTTCCCCTGAGGATAGCAGGTTTTGTTTAAGAAATGGCTAAGTAAACATTTTTTAAACATTTTTTTGCTGTTACGGATACTATTATCTCTAAGAAAAATGTGACTAAACCGAACATTTCATTAAGACATTTCTGAGACTTAAGTAGGTTTGAGTCGTATTGAAAGCTATATCACAGCGGTCCAGTGCTGCCTCTCGAGGTCGTGTTCCAGGATGTCCTAAGGTCCGCGACATCACTTTGATGGAATTTTGATACTAGGTAAAGAATTCTTGCGATCGGTTGCTATATTCATTATATTCAGTGGTTTCTCCTATCTATGCCAAACGAATGCTGGAGCTATCATAATAAATTGACTGCAAACGCCGCGAAATCATCCCTTTCTCATCCTTCCTACCCCTCCGGTCCTCTTACACACCTACACTTCCATGTACTACTCAACAGTCGAGCGACTAGCAGGGAGCTTGGGAGGTGACCGGGCTGCCGCAGTGCACATCTTGGAGGAGATAAATGAAGAGGGTGTAGTGGTCGCCCGCGCTCCATTGAAAGAACCGGCACCAGGACGCAGCAGCGAGGCGGCGGCTCCCCAGGATAAAACGGGCACCGCTCACAGCAGGTCGCTGATGTCGGGTTCAGCTGAGCCCTCACGCTTCGGTCGACCCGAGCGTGCACGCCATCGGCCGCACGGCCGGGCCCGTCGGCAAGCCTTTAGCCCTGGCCGTGTATAAAACGGCGCGCAGTGAGCAGTGAAGAGAGTTCCAGTTCTATCATAGTGCGAGCAACGAGTTAGTGAGTGACACGTTAGTGACGTGCCAGTGAATGGCACGTAGTATACGTTAGTGAGGGACTACGCTGGCGGCCAGTATAACGGACTTCTCATCTGGTATTTGGATCGTGACCACAGCATTGTTGTTGGACATGTCTTCGGCTTTTGTTAAATCTGGCAAGTCCCCGGTAAATCTCCTGGTTATTTTGTAACTACGCATGTTAACGGCTTTCTCTGTACGTTTAGCAATTGTGAATAAAAAACTGTTTCATGACATTAACTTGTTTTGGTCATAGCAGAGGGAAACGTGTGCAAGCTGAAGATTAGGATGGCAGCAGATTTCACGTTTCTTTGGGGAAGGAACCCGCAATTTCCCAGGGTGTAACAAACACTACACAGTAGTTTATAATGACCTACTCCGTATTTGCCGCGCCTTGAATCAATACCGCCTCACATGAAGGCGTGATAAAGCAAGCAACAACTATGTGTATAAAAAGTCGCAAGCTTCATTTCCAAAAGGCACAATGCATCCGCAGAAGTCCATAAGCGATTCCAGAGAGGTGGGTAGTGCGGGTGGGGTGGGCGTGGCATCAGTGACCGAGGGAGCAGTTGCGCAGAGGGCTGCCTGCTGCCGGCCGCACAGCCACAGGCGCGTCCACGTCGGCGCCTTCGTCGATCAGCAGCTGCGCCGCGTCCGCCTGCAACACACGCGCCCGCTCGCTCTTCAGCTTTATTTGTTTGTTTGTGTATGTGTGTGTTTCTGTGTGTGTTTGTTTGTGTGTGTGTGTGTTTGTGCGTGTTTGTTTGTGTGTGTGTTAGTCTGTGTGTTTGTGTTTGTTTGTTTGTTTACTTGCAAAATAACAGGCAGGCATTTTCTGGGTTTTCTGCGTTTCCGTTCTTCCGAAATAGGAGAAAGATACATTTTATGTAAGCTGCGGTGTTTAAGATTGTTCAAGATATTGGTTCAATATTTAATAAAATACTATAATTTTCTTTCATTTTATTTTTAAGTAGGTTGCTTTTACAACATTTTTTATCTTACACGCTGCTACTGGCTTTTAGCGAAACTATTAGATACCAATTCTGCCTCACCGCTACTCGACTCTGGTGGAATATATAAGAAATCAATCTCTAAACGACAGGCGAAAAATAATGCTTGTGGCGCATCTATATATATATATATATATATATATATATATATATATATATATATATATATATATATTATTATTAAAATTATTTATTTTCCACATTTGCTTTGTTTTAATCTTTACCAATCTTCACAAAGACACTGTGACAATCCTGAAGACAGAACATGTGAAGATTTTGGATCAATTCATACTCTACTTGAAGTGGTATCGATGTAGTTTATATGATGTTCCGTTGGGTCGCTAAAATCTTTATATAAGATCCTATGAAAAAGTGCAATTTGTTCACGTTTTTTCGAGCTCTGGATTGGTTGATTCATTAGTGATTTCGGGTGGGTCACTGTTAAGGTCATGTGTTTTTAAGGCGGAAAGTGGCGGTGAACATCCGTCGCTGGATGGCGCCGACCTTCAAGTCAGCTAGAGGGATTTTCCCCAACCAGGCATCTCCACCAGAGGGCACCACGCCAACCGGGACAAGATCTAGGCTTCCGACTGGTCTCCTGACATGTGGGGTAGTGTAGTCTGTAAGTAAGGGGCGAGGCTAGAGCAAGGAAGAGGAAGGAAATATCGCGCTCGTTTCATAGCCCGCATGTTAGAGAACTGCTTCGGCTAGTGGTATTCCCCCCCCCAGGCATCTAACACCAGAGGGCACCACGCCAGTCGGAACAAGCTCTAAGCTTTTGTCTAGTCTCCTGGCATGTGCGGTAGTGTAGTGTGTGTAAGTAACTGGTGAGGCTAGGACAAGGAAGAGGACGGAAAGATCGCGCTCGGCCCTTGGCCCGTATGTTAGGGTATTCGCCTGGTATTGATCTGCATTAGCCTGGTATTGTTAGAAGAAACCAAGGGAAACCAGCAAGCAGAGCAGCCGGCGGCTACAATTCTATGTAGCTAGAGTCGTAAACGCAGCCACAGTCGGGCTTGGATCCCCATGTCCTCGCGGTGAGATGCACAGCGGTGAGTTGCATTCTCGCCTGCAGGAAGCGCACGGCCCAGTGCAGCGCGGTGGCGCCGGCGGCGTCGCGGCGCTCGATGTCCTCGCCGCCCTCCAGCAACCGCACCACGCGCTCCAGGTCGCCCTCGCGCACCGCCTCGTGCAGCGCGCCCACCTCAGCCACGCGCCGCCCCCTGCGCATGCGCAAACAGGGCCAATGCTAAGGGCAGCCGAAACTGATATACACATTAGTCACGAAGGCGAAGTGCTGTGTTTCTGTCAGTCACGGGAGGTAGCGGTATTCTTTCTCCCCCTCGCTGAATTGTGAGATCCGAAGCCGGCATATGCATCTCCCACCAGCGGGGCACCGCCCTAGTCAGGTCAATATCTATACGCTACTCTACGGCGGCGGTAGAATTCGAAAATCCTGCCAGCATCCTGACTCAAACCATAGTACCTTCTAGTCAGTGCCACTGCAGTGACATCATTCGATGCCTAGAAGCGTCTCAACTGGGTACAGAGTAGCTGAAATATCGGGTGTTTGCTACCAGACGACTGCGACCTACAAACCGATTTTTTTCACCCCAAAATATATCGGAATGTTGCAGTCGAAGTCGTCTCAATATTACCGTAATTCCACCGCTCATTTTTTTTAAACATTTGCAAGGAGAAGAAGGCTCAAGACCATCTACAATACGCGAAATTTTCTAGATATTCTACAGCGGGGAAAGAAGGGCTCTTGCTACGTTACGTCTTAAAATGGCGTGCCACCTGTTAGCATTAATTAACACACCGAAGCATGCTAAGAGGTATATTGAACTACGATTGTTTGAAGATACGAAGTGGTAGTTGGCAGTAAATTGTACCGTTCAAAGTCGAACCGATGTATCTCAACGGACGATGTTTCACAGCGATGTGCGAAGACTAGGGAGCTCGCGTATCAAGAAAACGAGCAAACAATTAATGTACTACAAATGGCCTTGACTCTTCAGATGATTTCGGGCGAGTGGAACGGACACTACCAAACGAAACATCTTCGAATGGAAGTGTTCGAAGGAGGTAGTTCTGAGTCATTCTTCACAATTTAAATTTATCAGGACGTGTTTGAACGAAGCCGTCACATCGGATCCAACTAACCAATCAACTAATCAATCCGTCACATCAAAATCCAACATCGGCCGACCTCAATTTGCGGCCAAAATCGTCTCTTTTGTGTTTGCTGTCTTCGGCTGAAGTCTGAAGCTAGAAGCGAATTAGCCGGCGAATGTTCACATTATCCGAAATTGTGAATCGAGATCAAAGAGGCACGGATAGTCCAACTTCTCTCCTCCCTGCAGACCCCTTGAGCTAACGATACTTCTCGGAGTAGCTGGCACCTGGGCAGGAGATTTCAATTTCCCGCCAGCACATTCATATGCGAAATCTCGGCTACGATCATACGTCACTCCGTCCGCTGGGGACAAGCGGACACGAGTGTCAACAACAAGAGTACTGATGGTGGAAGTATCACGTGTTACCTGCGAGAATTCCTCGCCCGGCGCAGGCGCGAAACCGCCGTCGCCCGCCCCCGCCTCCGGCCCGCCGCCCCGCCCCCGCTCCGCCCTCGGAGCGGCCGGCTGCGTGGCCGAGCCGCCCACGTCTGCTGCGGAGCCCACTCGCAGGGCGGGACCACGTCCGGCGGCGGGCTCGGCCCGCCCACGCGCCGCACTGCGTCCACGAGTCCATCCGCCCTGCGCGCACGCCCAACATTGAAGCCTTCGCTCCATTCTCATTGATAGATTAGAAGAATTAGTTCGGGCGCGTCAACTGCTACGATTACTACGCACGCCCGCCCTTCTGGAACCTTCGCTCCTTCTCGTTGAGCGATTAGTGAATCACGTCATCTGCGAAGGCTATTAGTCCAGAAAGTGTAGTGCTTGTTTTTAATGTCCAAGAGTCCATCTGGCCCTGCACGCACGCCTGCCTTCTAGAGCCATCGCCCTGTTCTCGTTGATTAATTAGAGAGTACGGTGCAACTGCTAAGGTTATTAGTCCAGTAAGTGTAGTGCTTGTTTTACCGTTCATGAATCCATCCAGCCCTGCGCGCACGCCCTACATTAAGAGGCAATCGCACCCTTCTCACTGATAGATTAGAAAAATTGAATCGGGCGCGACAACTGCTGCGGTTACTACGCACGCTCGCCTTCTGGAACCATCGCTCCCTTCTCATTGATTGATTAGTGAATCGCGTCATCTGCTAAGGCTATTAGTCCAGAAAGTGTAGTGCTTGTTTTGCCGTTCATGAGTCCATCCGGCCTGCGCGGCACGCCCTACATTAAGAGCCTTCGTCCCCTTCTCACTATAGATTAGAAGAATTGAATCGGGCGCGTCAACTGCTACGGTTACTACGCACGCCCGCCTTCTGCAGCCTTCGCTCCCTTCTCATTGATTGATTTTGTGATTACAGCCGCGTCAACTGCTAAGCTTATTAGTCCAGTAAGAGTAGTGTTTGGTTTTTAACATCTACGAATCTACCCGGCACTCCACGCACACCCGTCTTCTAGAGCCTTCGCTCCCTTCTCGTTGATTGATTAGTGATTACAGCCACGTCAAAAGGTAAGGCTATTGGTCCAGTGCTTGTTTTTACCGTCACGAATCCATATGGCCTGCGCGCACGCCGCATTCTGGACCCTCGGCCCCTTCTTCATACATTAGAAGAATTGAATCGGGCGCGTCAACTGCTACGGTTACTAGTCCAGCAATAATAGTGCTTGTTTTTACCGTTCATGAGTCCTTCTAGTCCTGCGCGCGCACGCCCGCATACTGGAGCCTTCGCTCCCTTCTCGACGATTGATTAGTGAATCGGGCGCGTTTCTGCGAAGGTTATTTGTCCAGTGACTGTGGGGCTGGTTTTCACCGTCACGAATCCATCCGGTCCTGCCATGCCCTGCGCACACCCGCCATCTGGAGTCTCTCGTCCCTTCTCGTTGATGTATTAGTGATAACGGGCGCGCAATCAGCGTAAGTCATTATTCCGAAAGTGTAGTGCATGTGTTATCGCTGATGTTACTAAGGCGACGGTGATTCTCCCCGCTGGATTGTGAGATCTGGTGCCAACCTACCTGCTCGCTAGCGGGTTTTTCCCCTGCAGGTATTCTCCACCCCCATGGCTCTGCCCCAGGTGGGACAAGCTCTACACGGCAGACTGATCTCTCGACGAGTGTAGAAGAGATGTGTATGTAAATACGGAATGAGGATAGGACTCGAAGAGGAAGGAAAGATCGCGTGCGGTCCATGGCCTGGTTTGTTAGAAAACTGCTCCAACATTCGGTGGGTGATCTGGGCTGTCCGGGTGACGCCGCGTCGACGGCTGAGTTGCCGACGTTTCGACCATCCTGTCGTGTCTTCCTCAGGGCTGGTATGCGCCGTGATGGTCAGCGCTCGTGTTTATATTCAAGTCTAGGCCGTGTGCTATGGCTGAAGGCAGCGGCCAATCGGAGGCCGCCAGTTAGCAGCGCGGGGGGTCAAATCAGGTGGCGCGTGATCGGACGGCGCGAAAGGTCCGTCAGGCGGGTCGGAGTGGCCCGGGATCGGACGGCGCGAGCCGGTCCGCGATTGGCCCGCATGGCGCGGCCTTGGGTCGGACGGCATGAAGCGTCCGGTTCTGTGAGCGCGTGGTCGCGTGCCC